ATGAATACTCATAGATTTTAGCGCTGATGGTCGTATCATCCTTCGAAAATTTCTAAAAAAAACTCACACTTTTTTCTACTTACAAATTATATGTGTTGGCTACAATGATTATTTGCAGATTGTATAAATTTAGAAGTTAAAGTAATAAACTTCAAATGAATATTACATATATTTTTTATTAATTTTCTTTTCTTTTAACAAACTCATTCTGTAAGTCAAATGAGTCGCGTATTGTTTTACTAAAATTGATTTTATAAATTCAATTATTTTATCAAAAAATACATTATAATCATAGACCATTGTCACTTAAATAGAGTTTTTCAAATTAAATAAGTAATTATATGGTTTTATCCTATTTGAATTTAAATTATGATTTGAATTTGTATTAAAATTTTATAACGTTTGATTTGTGGAGATATAAAAGAAAGTGAAAATTCATGCAACTGAATAGAAGATACTAGTTAGGATTTTATTTAGTGGCACATCATTAGCGCCATTTTTAAAAATATTTTTATTATTTATTATTTAAAACGTCTCTGAAAAATCCAAAAAAACTAATTTACAAACGAACTCAAAATTTACACAAATTTAAATTAATTCGAAAACTCAGCATTAAGCTCATAGAGGCATATCATATCATTTATAGATTTCTTATTATTTAGTTTTATTGCATCGATAGTAAAAATATCAATTATATTGAATTCATTACGTACCTTACAGACGATCAAGGGAAATAAAAATGAAACTAGTATCAATAATTTCTGCATTTTATTCTGATTTTCACATATCACTCAATTACATGTCTGCGACTATAGACGTATTTTATAAATGAAAGAATATGGTTTGAATCACTTTAGATAAGGAAATCAACGGAAATGATATGTTGAGATGTTGCTTACTGATACGAAATACGAGTCTATAGATTAGACTGATTACTTTATAATTGCAAATTGTGTTCATGAGAAATCCTGTTAACTACACTTTATCAACGTTTTAATATTAGTTTTATACATGAGCAATTCTATTTATGAACTCTCTTATTTGTGGTGAAGCAATTCTTGTATAAACTCCAGGTAGTTGGCCACATCCTGATCCAAAAGATACGATTCCGACTAATATTTCATCTTCTGTTACTAATGGCCCTCCACTGTCACCTTGGCAAGAATCTTTACCTCGAACACCAGCACATACCATACTAATAAAGAAGTTTTGTTCAGAAAAAATTAACATGTTTACGAAATACGACATATTCACATTTCAATATAATGTAGCAAATTTGTAATTGAAATAGAGTAACTAGGTAATTCACTTTTTGGTTGACATGCAGGAAAATTTATATAAAAGTCCTGAAGGGTGGTCTTTAATATGGATATTTTGTATTTGTATTTGCTTGCAGGGGCTTAAATGCTTCCAAATTAATAGAAAAAAGATTCTCTAAATTTTAAGCTTTTAATATTAGCTTTAAGATAGTTCGCATTCCAACCAAAGTTTCTTATAGAAAAAAGGGTAAGATTCCATTTCTTTCGTAGAATTTAATAACTTAGCGACCAGTGAATCAAAACGAATAAAAGAATAACATTGCTATTTGCTTATTTTGATTATAAATAAAAAAACAGCAAAAATGTGATGTATTTTATGGCATAAGTATTTACTTACGAAGAAAAGCCAAGAAACTTTAGTTGGACTGCGGACTATCTAGAGTTAATATTAAGAGCTAAAAATTTCAGATTTTTTTTCTAAATTAATTTGGAAGCATTGGAGCCTCTGGGAGCAAAGAAATTCGAAAATATTCATATATATATATATATATATATATATATTTTATTTATTGTGTGTTATTTACAACTGCAATCTTACTTGCTCGTAATAATATCGTCATTTGCATCATAGAGTTTTCGACATTTTTGTTGATCTACAATTGGAACTGTAACTTTTCTCAGCTTATTTGTACCGGTGCCATGATGCTGAAAATAATGTAAAACTTTCACAAATTTCATTCTTAAAATAACAAATTATTAACTAACGATATATAAATGTATATGAAACTTATTGATATGATTCAAATGTGTATTTTAGTTCGTTTCAAATATTACTAGATGTATATTTTATGTTGTTTAATATCACATTATAAGTGAAAATCAATCAAATCAAGGTAACTCTGATATTGCTATCGATCAAACAGATAGAATACTATAAATGTTTAAAAACAATATAAAATTGACTATTAATGCCAGTGTCTAGCAAAACATCTAACATATAAATAAAAAATAAAATTTACATTAGTTATAACATTAAAAATTTAATTTATGTTAAGAAATCATTTATTTTAAGGAAAGACAAAAAGCGTACATATATTATTTTGTATTTAGTAACGAGTTCATTTTGTAAAGATTAATAAATTTAATATGATAGTTAATATGATATAGATGTTGATAACTGTTAATAAATTTCTGGTGTACAACATCATGTATATAGTAGATATTTTATACACAATTATTGCTGGCTATATTGTTACGAATTTACTTATATTTATAAAATGTACTCGTTCGTAGGAAAGTGGCTAGAACGACTAGAACTAAATCAGAGGATTCATCACGGTTCAAACAGCCTGTTGTTAAGTGACTACGGTTTTCACTTAATATATAACATTTTTTTAAATTGAGAATAGTCCCTAATCAGCATTGCTGCATCAATAAATATTCACCGAATTACAGAAATTGTAATAATAATTCAGCACACAGAGATAGGACAGTTGTTTGGGTTTCCATCTGTAAAACCGGCTAGTATTGAAAATAGTATTAAGTCAAATTAGTGCAACAGCCTATAGGACCTTTAAGTTCTGATCAATATTCAAAATATAAAAGTAATATAGAAAATATTTACAAATAACTAACTCAAACAATAATTAACGAAATGATACATGAGTAGTATGTTTTTAGTTAATTGTAACAAAAGTTTATAACAATTATTTAAATAATAACCTAATTTAATTTTAAGCATTATTTACTAAAATTTTCTGTTACTCAGGATCCTGATGTATGTAACCCCCATGTATGTAACCCCCACAGGTAATTACAGGTACTTTAGCGGACGATTGGAGTGTTGAAGTAAGCCCTTCGTAATGTGGTTGCAAGGCTAGAATATAGTATTTGGCAGCCATTGCATACCCCAAGAAGGGGGCTTCAACCCCAATTGTCACAATATGACATTTTCACAATATACATCTCATTCTAATTTGGAACCAGAACCTAAAACTATTGTCCCCATATTATAACCCATTTTCCAAACTTAATGTTACAGTTTATCACTTATAACTTTCAGTTTCTAATTCTTATTATTTAAAATGATCGAAATCACATTACACGTGGAACACCATGAGGAACTCATATAATTACTAACTAATAGTTTTTTTCTTGTTGATATGTCCAACAATCTATGAGATTATCAGCCAGGAGTGGGAAAATAGAAATTTTCGAATAATGCATTCGTGGGTGTTCTATGGCATAAATGTTAAGCACACTGCCTTATGTAGACATGATCGTGAGGTCACATTGTCCCCGATGTGGAGCGGCTATGTCCATTTTCTCTTAAAAATATAGATGCAAACATATTTCATATTAAAACTAACCCATTTTGGGCACTGCGGTTTGAAATGGCAATGGGTAATCTCTCACACTACTTTTCCTGAATCGAGGTAGAGCTCAACTCAGCTTACGGAACTGCCCTAGAACAGTACTATTCAATATTGTTTCATTAATGCAGTTAACCCATACACGCCCATAGCAATGTGTTAAATAATTTCAATAATCACAGAGTTCAGCTTAGTTAATTTTCCTTCATAATTTGTTGAGAGATGACATTACCTTGAATTTTAAAAATAAAATTTATTTTTTATTTACCTCTAAGGTGCCCCATCCGGTGGCTGTCACTAAAGTGCCGCTCGATGGATTACCTCCTGAATTCACTAATTTCACCTCGCGCAAGGATTTCCCATTCAGTGAAAATGGTTTTCAACTCGCACCAGAGCCACATCATTATCAGTATTATATGCATTGTAATTTGGGTGTCTCACTGCTTCTATTACCGAGTAAATCTCACCACCCATGTCGTGTCGATTAGAACCTGCTCGAATTGTGTAGTCTTTTCCAGAATATGTGTACCTGCGGAATAAATTACGTAGACACACGCATATTAATATATTTTTGATTAGATAACTATATATATATATATATATATATATATATATATATATAAAGTAATCTCTTCTACGACACATTCTTTGTATTATACAAAAATGTAGAATGCACATTTATGAAAAACTATACCGCGAAAAATAATATGCGTTTCCTTAAAATTCAAACTAAAAACGATTAAAGAATAAATAGAGTGTACAATTATAGCAAAATGGCAATAGGATAACCGTCCTGTGTATTATTGTCATGGCTATATTGACCTGCAGACCGACGCATTATACCGAACTGTGCAAGTCCGTCATTTTTGTCATAGGGCACATGCGTGTTACAGGAGATACTATAATTATTCTTCGTATTATGATAATAATTAAAGTTTATATTGATTTATGAAAAGAATTACATAAAAAAAATTAATATTATTGAAAATAAGTAGAAAAAAATATAACTTATTAGACGTTTTCTTGCCGTTTCTA